CGCACACACGAACGCACGCGCACACACACACACACACACCCACACCCACACACACACACGAACGCACGCACACACGAACGCGCGCACATATTGATAAGCGATGTCATTTATTTGTTCGAAACGGGTACATACATAAATTAAGCACCTAAAAACACACAAGTTAATTATAGATAATTTAATTTAATCTTTATTCATGCTATAAATATTAACGCTGATGCCACGGCAAGATGGTATAATATATATAACATTATGATCAAAGGTAATAAGTAATGTTGAACACAACTCATATGGGCCCATAAAATAAGACGGCGTCAATGTTGTTGGCAACCATGTCTCCGACAGCGGCGATTAAAAAATGGACGATCGAGCTATCATAAAGCACAGACGAATATGGAGGCCATAAACGTTTTAATTGGTTCACGAGCATCGCCTCCTAATATATTAATAGCCAAAATATATTTACATAACTTCTTATTTATAGGCGTGAGATGATAATTTTTCGTTATTACTATATAAACATTTCTTCTTGATATATCCTATCCAGTTTATAGGTGTTGCTGTATAAACATGAGCGCATAAGCTTGTCTTCATGTGAAAAATTTTAAACCAATGTGATAGATTACGATGGTTCGATTCGTATGCATTTTACTATGATACCAGCACTCAGATGAGAAGGCCCAAAATAGCCACAAGTGTGGTTAGATTAGACCGTGTGTTTGTGTTTTAGTTGCTGTGTGCGTAAGAGCTTGTAATGCATGCCATAATCAGTATTGGTAGCGCGCGTGCATTGAGTTTCGCAGCAGATGCTGCAACAACCAGGCCTTTCTACGAGCATTGTGACGCGTCCTGGATCGTACGCAGAAGATGTACTTCTGACTAGAACAGAAATGTATTGATTTGTAACATCCTTGGAAGACACATGCAAACCCCATATGGAGCGAAGATTTTACTCCAGCGAGGGGCACGTAGGGCCTACACGGCGGAGTACCTCGAAATCTCTTTGCTGGTGGTAATAAAAATATGTTGTCTCGTGCAATGGAGGTTGCCGGATCGATAGGTTGATGCCCCGAGTCTAGCCATCGACATCAAAGAGTTTACAGAAGCACTTTCTGGTTACTGGCTAGAAGACTACTGGGGCGCCATCTAGACGCTAAACAGAATCCAGCGCACAGCTGGAATAGTATGTACATTCGTCGATGTTAAGTAGTGCAAGTTCAGTAAAAACAAGACGATTTTTTTTTCACCTAAAAGCAAAAATTGAAAGAGAGGCAAGGGCACAACCATCGTTTTAAGTTTTAATAGGAGTGTGTCTCTTCCAGGATTATTCAAAGCAATAGTAGGCAAATCCGGATAAATTTGCATTTGGGTCCGGGTACGTTCCGGACTCGGTCAGTTTTTGGATTGAGTAAGCCCTAGAATATATATGGCATTATTTACGAGTAACAAGTGAGTTATGATTGCCCGTATACTTTTTTTTTACACAAGTGTTGCTCTCTAAGAAAATTTAAGAAAGCCATCGCGTTGTGCATACAACTAATTGGCAACGCTGTGGTAATTAGTGAGTAAAGCTGCCAATTATATGTGTGGCCAATTAAATCGCCACATGCTGATGATTTTCTGAAACAGGGGCCCGACTGCAGAAACTTCATAAGTGGACATGATATCACAACTCTAAACTGTCATATCTTTTTATGGGTCTTAATTGTCGTGCCAGCGCGAAGAATGTATGTGCATGAAACTATATATATATATGATGAGGCAGGGAAGCGTTAGCAGTTCTAGGAGCATTGATTAGTGCATTTGCTACCCGTGTTGACAGTGTAAGTTTTGTTCTTTACGTGACAGCGTACATTCCTATATTAATCACTCACAGAAGAAATAACGAGAAGCGCGAGAAGAAAAAGAAGAAGAAGATGAATTTGCTTCTAATTAAATCAAGCTCTAATATCATAGGCGTTATATAGTTTCCCAACGTCTGTTGACTTGAATGTCAGATGCACACAGATACAACCACACGTGCGACCTTCGGACGCTAAATGACCATCTGATGACGTTAACGATTATCTATACTAGCGGGTAATTTATATACTGTATAACTTTGATATTACAGCCCCCCCCCACACACACTAACGCTGCGTCTGAGAGCTAACGTGAGAAACTAAATGTATAACGACTGGTGCGTTCGGGGGTAGCTGACAATGAGGTTCCCGTTATGGAATATAGGCCACGCCCCGGTGAGCCAATCACGTCTCAGCGAACAACAGGCCAGCTTGCGGATTCATTTCCACCGGCAGTAAATCGGTCTTTCAGATTTTCACCTGTTGTCTGCATATCAGCGTCTTAGATGAGTGTGTTAGATGATATTATAATAAATACACGCGCGCGCGCACGTACGTGAAACAATTTTGTTTATACTTCACTCCTGGTATTGTAATAAATGGCGAGTTTGATCGAGGGTCGAATAATTTTTAGCTTAAAGTGATTACGTCACCGTAAACAGTAAAAAGGAAAAAAATATTTCCACTTTTTCACAAAATATAAGTAATTCTGTTCACTTTTTATGGTTAAATTGCTGCATTATACTTCCTGTTTTACTATATTGTTCGATGTGAACATACACTCGTGACTCATATATAGCCCATAGCAAGCCATTAATGTCAGGAACATAATATCAAATCGTCCAGGTTTTTTGGATTTTTAACTAGTTGAGAAACAATCTTATCAGGTAATAATTTGACGATACGTTTAGTCCCGTTAGTTCTTACTTTTAATGTAAAAAAATGGCAACAAAAATTTGACAATTTTACCATAGAAAATTTGTAACGTAGTCAATTTAATACCTGCACGGGAATGAAATCGGCATATAATATATATGCCATTATTTAGGTTCAATCACAGTTCAGTCTGGCCCTCATGGGAAACAAAGTGCATATAGCTAGCCGGGTTGTTTAAGTTGATAACAATTTATAGCATATGGGCATATGGCCATTTGGTATCAATTGCTCACCAGATGCATTTCATGTAATTCTGCACTTTTCGTGGGGCGCGTATATCTTTTTTTTCATTCGCGTCTTATTTTTACAAGTGGCTGCATGATGAAAAAAATTCATGTAGCGTTATAAATCATAGCTGAATCAGGCTCAGGTTTGTTCTGTTTTAATGGGAATGCGTCATGAGAGCATAACGATCACGTTTCAACCTGTTCGTATTATCACGCTGTGGCTACCTACGTGATATCAGAGATTTTAAGATTGTATTGTTAGTTGCAACTTAGGAGCAAGTTATGTTCTCAAGCTTTGGGCGCCGCGTTTCAGGGCAATGTGGAAATGGTCGGGGGTCGGTCGTTGGTGTCTGATTTGTCAGCGTGACGATTCGAAGGCTGCATTAGAAGCCTATCACGGGTCGATCGCTACTTCCACCACTATCATTATAGCCATTATATTACCATCACGATTAACAATAATGAAAGCCAATCTAAATTTTATCGGCCAAAATCGACTGTTGGTCAAATTGACAGATCAACTCTGCGGATTGCAGTAAAAAAAGTTTTCGCGTTATTGGTAACAGATCGGAAGGAGGGGAGTTCCCGTAATGAGTATGGGATCACAAGACAGAAAACAACAAGACAGAAATTATTAAATTTATTTAGGCCTAAATCAATTGCAAAATTATCGGACCTGTCTAGAACTCGACGTTAGCCTAGCTACGAACGTCGGTCGCTCCACTACAGGAGGTGTCCCGTTGTCTACGGGACAGCGGGGCCTCGGGGCATGTGGCGGCAGCTGAGTGCACGATGGTGGTAGACGTATGGGACATGCGTGCAGCTGCGACCGTAGAGCAGTCGGGCATAGTGACGAGACTGCGAGTGTGGGCCACAGAAATTCGGGTTATTCTACTTTCACTCTACTGTGTGACACAATATATTTGAATGAAATTTTTGTCATTATTATATACGAGTTAAAATAAAGAACATCAATAGCGTAAGTGCGCACTACCAGAATTACGATTTCTAGCGTTCGTGGTTCGATAATCTATTTTTTCGACTTCGTCTTCGTCATGGTGAATAGTTTGATGCTTACTATCGGCCGTATAGCATTCTTCTGCAGTGTGGGATTCCTTGACGTGCAATTAGGTGCTTGGAACAAATAAACTCTGGCCCACACTCCCCTTGTTGTTTTATTTGCCTGGAGACTGCATTTTAAATTAGTCGTTTCGAATCTTGGCTTGTCATTTAATTGCCCTTTGGCTTGCCTATGAGCGCGAGAGTTTTTTGAGTGAGGCTATGTTTTCTGCGGGTTATGATGAATTATATACTGCGAATTATAGCAAACTCTCACTCTTGATTAGTGTCTATTTTGTGGGTTAAATAACTGATTTACGGCAGTATTTGTTGGCGCTCACGCTCTCCATAGTCTATTTATCGCCCAAGCAGCGCCAAACCGCAAGCCAGCCCTGGCCATTTCGGCCCTGACACGCATGTGGGAAGCTTGGTACATGAGCAGTCTAAATAAACAAACCTCCCGAAGACTCCCCACCAGGATAGCTATTTATTTTTGGGTGGCAAAAATATTTGTGTTAAGACTATAGCTCAACGACGGCAAAATATCACCGCTGTACGACAACTAATTTGGACACTGTGGTCGCAAAATCATGGGGTGGAATAGCAGGTTTAACGCTTGACTCTAGAGTCTAGATAGTGAGAAGATCGTTTCTGTCTTGCGTTGTAAGAAATGTTATCATCAATGAGCAAGATCGTTATTTTCTTACGCAATGTGTTGCTGTGTGTATTACCTAGATACAATAATGTAACCCAAACCCAGAGAGGATAGGGGTTACATCCTCTCTGGGTTTGGGTTACATTATTGTATCTAGTATTACCTAATATGTTATTTACAGCAGGAGTGAATAAAGGTTGCTTCTATTCACTCATGATTATAACCATTCATTCCTTAATTAGCTGTGTTGCACATTAATTAATTATTTTTTGTTTCTACTTCTAGGACCAGGGATCAAATAGATGCAGGGGCAGGGATTGTACTACAGGTAGCTGTAAATGCGTGGGAGAGAAAGGCTCAAGGGTAAGTGAACGTTAAGATATACCATAGATATTACTCAACATGAAAAGTAAATCTGTAACATATAACACGTAACAGTAACACATAAAGTAATTTAAGTATACATAGAAGCATATGTGCGATTGTGTGTTCGTAAACTGCATATTTTACACCGATCACAGTAGGGTTAGTATACTATATACTATATATTCACGATGTCATGCGAGACACATACAGCTCACTTTATGTGCCTTTCATACGCCGGTTTGATATTTTAGAAACAGTATAACGCAACTTAAACGATTTATTGAATTGGGTCATGCAGTTTTTAACCTCTAAACAAACAGCGGGGGTCATTGCACCATCTATGGAACTCCACCTTCCATTTGCGACACGCATATATTTTGCTGGGATTTTATGCTCCATGTATTGTCATATAGAGTGAGATTGCGCCGTAATGCTACACCGTGAATGTCAGAATGGCACTAGCTTTTAGCTGTAACTGCCCTCATCTGCAGGCTTATTTGTACGTATAACTTCCCTAGAGGAAGAGGCCCCGCGACTCTATGCCGAGACCACATTTCTTTCTCGCCATCTGCGAAATCTTTTAACCTCAATCGCTCTGATAGGTTTACGGCACGCGGGACAGATGTTTATAGTTAGGCTTCGCTCGCTGTCCGTGTGGGACTGCGGTTTGGGTGCAGTTAGCGACCTTTCCGCTCGAGGGTGGGGGTGCGGGTCGTGGGAGCTCGCATTTTTTCAGCTTCATGTTAGAAATTCAACCCGAGCGCGCGTGTACGGGTTCGCAAACATCGCGCGCGCACAGAAATGTAAATTGTGTAATGTAATGTTACTCTAAATATAACCATTCGTCGATTATCCCCCCCAGCGTTTATATAGTTCGTCTGGTACCCTCCGTCAGGCATTGGGTTTGCACGACTCCCGACATGGCCGCCAACATTTTTTTATTTAAAACAATTTACATCCCACAAATCTAGCTGTCATCATTCATGTCGCCACTTGTGATGCCCTGGAAAGGTATTAATACTGAACACGAGCCTCAGCTTCCTGGGTAGCTAACCCCCGTGAAGGATACGATGGCATTGGCATTTTGGCTTACGCGGGGCCCTCGGCATTTAAAATGTCGGAAAACCAGAGGGAGATTTAACCAGACGTACCCAAAACGGCGTCATTGCAAAGCCAGCTGGCTTTCATATTTATTTTTTTGCTAATATTTACGCCCCCTGTCTTGAACCGACAGGATTTATTAACGTGCCTTCCCAGTTTGAGCAGACGCACTTCTCGAAAATAGGCTCATTTAAAGAATGATGCCCGCTAGAAAAACACTTTCATACAGAACAGGTTCATGGCTAGTAAAACAAAAGTGCAGATTTTGACGTGTTTTTTTTTTTACAAACTCACAGTGACAAATTTTAGTGGATTATTGTAAGCTAGGCAATCGTAGGTGGATAAGAAAAGATCGAACTCCCCGTTTTCACGCGTTCCAGAGTAGTTGTAATAGCCGCTTTTTACAAGTGATGCCAGACAGCGCTGCAAAATATGGCAATAAATGCTGTTTACTGGTGTCAACCAATTTAATTTTAACGAGATATGTAAGAAAATACGTGCTACTAGAACTGCGATAATGATAACCGTTAGTGGATTTTGTTTTGCACATAAATGCGTGTCAACACGGTGCAAAAGCCTGGCATGAAAAACTCCATTTTAAATTCGTATCAGTATGCTGATGAGCCCACTCTACGCACACGCTTCACGAAAGAACAACAGCCGCCAATAAATACGCCTAGTAAAGTTTTACGCTGCAAAAACCTTCTCTCTCTCTATCCCCGGTGTTTTCACCAAATCAGCGTGTCTGCTGTTTTGCTCCACTGGGGGACTCCTGGCGTTTCGAAGAGAGCCGACAAAAACTTTATATATAAGCAGACTGCTATCCAGGGTTGAGGTTGAGGCGCCGTGCGGACACGTTACTCGAAGTAAGGGACCGAACTTATTTCGAAGAAGTGAAAATAATATTTCAAGCTAGCATGTCGAACTGCATTTTAAACGTGACCAACGAACTCGGCCAAACCGAACGGAACCACCCTTACAGTAGCAAACACATGCAAAATAGATATCGCTAACCATCCATGTGGTTAAAATAGTTTTCCTTCCTGGGCGCATACCGAGGGTTTTCATGGGGGGAGCCTATTTTGCTATCGTGTCTATTTGCCAGCGTGTTGGCGCTGCTAGAGCTTGTCGGCACTTCGTAACGTGAGCAGGTACAAGCTGTAGGGCTTCATCATGAACTGTCAGAGTGAGAGCTAGCGGCGGCATGCTGCGGGAGGGATGAACGCCCGCTAAATGAAATCACTTCGCACGAGCTTATCTCGCCCATCAATGCCGATGTGCGTGCGTGCATGCGTGAGTGCGTGAGTGTGTGTGCGTGTATGCGCGTGCGTGTGAGTGTGCGTGCGCGCGCGTGCATGTGTCTGAGAGGTCCGGGTGCCGAGGGTCCGGGTCGGTAACACGCGGCAGGAATCTGGTTTCGAACTAGGAGCATGAATTTCGAAACCCATTGGGGTTTCACCGACCTACGTGCGTTTGTAACTGTCACGCACTTCCCTGGAGCTGAATACGAAAGATGCGTCTGCCAATTTTCAAGAAATACGATAAGGAAAACCATTCGAGTCCGTGCTCGCGCCTCAGTGAACCAGCCAAAGCTCGATGACAGAGAATCCCTAACATCCATATTTTTTGAGGGCGAGGCCACCGCAGTAATGTCTGGTTAGTGATATATGCTCTCCCTCCAGGGAACCGAATTTGTTTGACCGTGGTCAGGGGTCAGGAAGCGTGCCGACAGCTAATATACCGCAGGACCGCAGCTGTTGGCAAAAATTTTGAATTTGCTAGCTGAGATTACTGTCAAAATTGCCCGTGGCCTATAGAGTATCATTCTAAAAAGTGGAAATAGATTTTGCTTGCATAATAAATAGGTGCCATACTGTCTTTGTGTATATGGGTCGAGAGCTCTGCGCATCAGTTCGCTACATTAAGAACAGTAAGAGATTTACGTTACCGCTAGAGCAGACGTATCCAGTTGCATCTGACGGATGTGAGTGCTCGCGTGCGTGCGTGCGTGCGTGCGTGCGTGCGTGCGCGAGTGCCTACGCGAGTGCGCGAGTGCGTGCGCGCGGGCGGGCGGTCGTTATATATATATATATATATATATATATATATATATATATAATATATATATATATGTATGTATATATAGTATATTTATCATTGCATCTTACCATATGTGCGGCTTATTTACGCAGATGTCAAAGTATGTACACGAAGTATGTAAACTTTCGTGAAAAACACTCTAATGGTAACAGATTATTAGATATACAATCCAGGTGTGTGGCAAATGCTGAAACGAAATTTTCTGTAAAAATGATACCAATAAGACAAAATGATTAATTGCAATTATATTAAGCCTGTAGCTATACCTGTGCGCTTCGAGCCCTATCGGTTATATTATTTGTGATAACCGCCATAAACACTCACAAGCACCTATCCATAGATCAATGTGTCGACTGCTTTGCCAGATTACCTATGCCTGTCAATGAAGGATCATGCAGTACAGTCACAATTACCCAGAACAGTACAAGGTTTTGCTTTAACCATATCCCTAATAAACTACCCTGAAAACCGCATCTACAAGAACCTAAGATTTGTTCGGGTTCACTCCGCTAGCATACAATTATAGAAACGTGACTATAGATGTACACACGATATGGTTTTACCGTACCCTTTCTATCGACAGGGTCCACATGGACTTCCCGGAGAACAAGGAATCCAGGGATTGCCCGGCATGGAAGGACCCGAGGGTCTATCAGGTCCAAAAGGCTACAGCGGAGAGTCGGGACGTGCCGGGCCACTAGGACCCAAGGGCGACCGGGTATCTATCAACATGGCCGCTGAAATATTATAGAACGATGTCGTCAGTTAAGACGACTACTAGCTGACGGTCTAGCTATTATTCTGTTGTTACCGGTGACTGTAATATTATGTGTGCTTAAAAAAGATTATTGTTCTCAATTGTTGTGATTTTGCTTGCGTTTAAGTTGTTAACTTTAAACTGTTGTAAGATAAATTCCTCAGAGTTCTAAACTATATACCTTTTTAATGACTGAATATTGCTATTTTATTCCACTATAGGGTAGGATTGGCCAGCCAGGTTTCCCAGGTATCAATGGAATTCCGGTGAGTTTGAGCTTAATTATTTCATTACCTTAGAATAAACGTGCTTGGACCAGCTTAAAAATATTATAGAAGTTGATATGCCAATCAATTAAGTGATTAATAATGCAATGAATTTGACAAAATTACAATAATTATCGAACTGCGATTTAACTATATACTATAAGTGAAGATAGAACCGTAAGCAATGTGATGTGTTACATTATTTGCTCTCTGTTCCTCTCTCCGGTAATATTGTTGACCTCTGCCTCTATTTGTAGGGTATCCAAGGTTCTCCTGGAGCTACAGGCCGACCCGGTATGGACGGCTGCAACGGCACTGACGTAAGTCAACGAGACGTGCGCGACATGAAATAACCATTTTAATCTAACATGAGATTTAATATAAATCTTTTAAACTAGCCAAAGGGGACTCCAGGGGACCGTCAAACATCGAGAGTTAGTAATACAAAGCATCGGCACCAAAACACCAAAGAATCTTGCCAGTCCAAATGTTAAATATAGATGATATTCAAACATCGCAAAGTGGGAAAAGCGGTTACAGGGGTTTAGGGTTAGGGTTTGCTCAATTAAAATTTTCCTATGCGTGATTAAATAAAATTTCCAACACGTGCAGTACATTATACATCAACAGCTTTTCCCAGTTAGACGCCATGTCAATGAACTCATACGAGTCTTACGAGCTGAAATAGAAGATCGTTCTAGTCTGCAAGATGGTATATGTATACGTACTTCATTGGAGCAAGCTGGCATTACCATGCACAGCATTAACCTGGTTAAAAGAAGCCAGCGTTTTCTGCTGACCTGGATAAGTGATGCCAGCTGCAAGGCGTATTATTATTAGTTAAGGTTGCGTTTTTTGTTATAAATGCTTGAGAAGTGATACAAGCATGCCGTGAGATAATATCATAACAAAGAGTTCATTCATCATGACACACCCAGTGAAAGAGTTATATATCATAAAAGAAGTTATATATAATTCTTGCATATTCCGCACAATTGAGTTTACTGAAAATAGATGTTGCTCACGCTTGCATGCATGGTGCTAAATGCCGGATTTATTGCAGGGATCACCAGGTCTTCCTGGCTCGCTGGGTCCTGAAGGACCGCCAGGCCTGCCCGGGTACCCAGGACCTACTGGTCTGAAGGGAGAACCAGCTGTCACTGGTCTGAAGGGAATGAAGGTACGGGGTATATTCTCTAAAGGGTATTTTCTACGTCATGCTTCATCAGTGCGATTTTCGTTATTTAGTTTTGAGAAACTGCAGGAACCAGGGCTAGTAAGTCTGGTGATATATTCTAACAGTTCAGTGCATGTATAAATATTCAATGTTGGCTTACAATTGTACAAATTGTGCAAGTTATCTTTGTATTGTGCTGCGCTGATGCAAGGTGGGATCAGACAGATCGAGGTATGATAAAGGTCAAGACATTAATTGCTACGATTACTGTATGTGCATGACTGGTAGCTGTAGTAAAGTGAGTGATAATGAACTATGTATAATTATTAACTTATAGAAAGAGTGTGAAAAGTATGACATAATATCATTTGATATTGTACACAGAAACGCCCATTGTCTTACCAATTATTATCTTATTTGTGCTTTAGGGATTGCCAGGCATAAATGGTCAACCAGGTCAACCGGTAAGTTCAATATAGAAATATTATCACTGGATAAATTCAACGTTGTCAAAATGCATTGCGTACCGGACAAAAACGGAATACATTCTACTCTAAATGCTGATAAAACCATGTACCATGTCTGATATTATCATTATTAAAGATTTTATAAATATATGATTACACGGAGTAATGCCAAGTTGTTTGTGAACTCGTGAAACGCGTATACGTCGAGTTGATTGAGTCTAAGCCAACTGACAAGTTTGTAATATTCTGCTGTTTAGGGCCCTCGTGGATTCGATGGTGAATCAGGCCGTCCAGGACCCCCGGGACCTATCGGCCGTCCGGTTAGTAGATGAAAACCAAAACTTGATTTAATTATAATTTCGCACAGCTTGCATTAGGCACATATGATGGTGTGAGATCATTTGTGTATTATAATTTCATTTGATTTTTTTCCCCAATATATTTATCATTAAACCTTAATTATTATATAATTACAGTTTCATTATTAAATGTATTATTTTATAACTGTTAGGACGATGGAATTTGTTTTTGCAATTTGCTATAATCTTAAATAGAAACACCGATTATTATATTATTATTATTCTAGCGATTGGGTTATTCCCAAATTAATAGTTGTGCACATTTGCAATTTTAGGGCCCAGCTGGTCTGTTGGGACCAAAGGGACCAAAAGGCAACATGGGTCTTGGTATGCAGGGCTTGAAAGGAACTAAGGTATCGTGGCCTACCTTTTTAACATGTATAGAAAGCTGCTATTATGCAGCCACCCATTGTATGGATTTCATGTTTAAAAGATAAAACAGGATCGTTTTACATATACTTGCATACATGTACACGTGATTACTAAATAATGATAAACGTGTTTATTATTATTTTGAAATATAATAATTGTGAATTTCATATGAAGACCCATATGGTAATGTGATTTCCATTTGCTCTTTAGGGTGATCTGGGACCACCGGGTCCAACTGGTACTCAAGAATTCAAAGGCTCTAAAGGACTGATTATTGTTAAGGGTGATTCAGGACCCATGGGTATGAAGGGTATGAAGGTGAGAAAATTTGCTCTTATTTCGTTCCACATTTGAAATAAAATAAGCGATTTATCCCTGACTCCCCCCCCCCCATAATTTTATGTTTATACTTTTGCTTTTATAAGGCTAATATTTTCTGTATCAAGTACATAACCCGGTTATATAATTAGCAGTTCATTGTGTTTTTTGCCTATGCCCTACATGCTTGTTGTGTGCTCGAATTTGATACTCGTTGTAATTAGTGTTCATTGTTAAATATATTTATGTTACAGGGTGATTATGGCAACACAGGTATGAAGGGAGAGACAGGTGATCTCGGTCACTCAGTAAGTATGAATTCATCCTCAGTGAAGTCGTTTTGCGTCCGAGTGAATTACAATTGCGGCTTCGTAGCACATGTAAAGATAGCGTTTTGAATGAAAAATCAAACGCAGATCTTTTTTCCTTACGTGATTTCCGTAAAATTTCCGTATTGCAACAAATTGCTAATTTTAAATACATTGTTCCTGCAGGGATTGCCCGGGCCACTTGGAATGAAAGGTGAAAAGGGTGTGCCAGGACCAGCTGGACCCAGAGTGAGTACAAGCTATATAGCTATTTCATTTTTTTTTATTCAGCAATACTCAACAGAAAGTTTGTGAAATACCTTAAAAAATATATACTGTTTATTTGTGCACGTTGAGAAATGTATCTTTGTTTTCAATGATTTTAGGGCAAGCAAGGTTTCCCGGGACCACAAGGCATTCAGGGCTTCAAGGTAAAATACCTGCTGCTTCTGTTGTTGTTGTTGTTGTTGTTGTTGTTGTTGTTGTTGTTGCTGCTGCTACTGCTAGGAAAAGCTATTGTGGATCAGATCTATCCTAGAAACATGATATTAAGCCACTGTAGTTTGAGATATATTATCAATATAATATGTTTTGATCTTTATTATGATCACGTGGTTAGATTTTTTAAATCGGGTAATATAAAACATGACCAACTAGTTTATATTTAAGTGTTAATTCTTAAAGCTAAATTGCAATCGTAATATTAGTCTTAGTAAATTCCTAGCCAATACTTTAAAGAAAAAATCTCCTTAACTAAAATCATCGGTTTCGATCTAATTTGATGTAACTCTCACCTCGAAAAATGCGGCATTGCTCCTAACAGGGTGACAGAGGCAATGACGGACAGCCCGGCTGGCCAGGCATTTCTGGTAGCAAGGGAGATTCAGGTTTTACTGGACGTGAGGGCTCCAAGGGTGAAGCCGGAGACTGTGAACCAGGCGTAAGTGCATAAAGCCACCGAGAGTACAGCAGGCGCGGCTTTATAAGTAGAGGGTTACTTTGTTGAAATCGAATTAAACTCGATGGTACATTAAGTACGGTAAGATGGTACGTTAAGTACGGTAAGATGGTACGTACGTTAAATACGATAAGATGGTACGGTAAGAAGTACGGTAAGATGGTACGTTAAGAAGTACGGTAAGATGGTACGATGCGAACGTTAAATTCGCGCATTCCAACGTTAAATTCACGCTCGGTCTGCTTCAGGTTGGGCCAGCAGGAGATCCGGGTCTGCCCGGACCACCAGGCGAGCCTGGCTATCCTGGTTTGGACGGTGAACGAGGTAGGTGACGCTTCGAATTAAGATTAATCTAGACAGCCAGGTAAAATCATGCATGGCAACAGAAACGCGGGGGGTGGTGCACTGGAAACAATTTCGTCAATTTCACCGCTGCTTTTTTGCCGTATGTTTTAAAGCTTCTATTCCTTCCCCTGGCACAATGCAGCCGTTTAAGACATGTTTTCCACGTGCTCTACAGGTGTGCCCGGACCAATGGGCCTAACGGGAGAGAAAGGTGGACCAGGTGTACCAGGATTCCCCGGTCCAGAAGGCCCTGCTGGTAGCGTTGGACAGAAGGGAGACGGTGGCTACCCAGGTATATCGAAGAGTCTATTTAGGCTGGTTAATATTCGCACTTTCTCTATCGCGCAACACAAACTGATCTAACATTGTGGTTGCTGGGATCGTAATCGCCATTTTGACAATATGGCTTCTAACATAATACCTTGCTATTTGGAATAGGTCTTGATGGTCAGCCAGGTCTCCAGGGAAGACCAGGATCCTCCGGCGGGAAGGGAGAGACGGGAGAATCAGGCATACCAGGTGTAGCTATTCAGGGACCTCCAGGTTTGAATGGACAGCCAGGTTTGGATGGCCGACCAGGAGAGAAGGGAGACCGTGGATCCGCCGGTGCACCAGGTGATGGTCTCTTCCTCCAAAAAAACGGTCACAATAAACGAGTAAATAATAATAATATAATTACAACATTTTCATTCTTTAGCAGTCGGTCGGTAAACGTTTTGAGTGAACATAGTGAGTACGAAATCTATTGTCGCCGCAGGAGAATGACTGTGTTTGTTCGTCCACTGCTTCTCAGGTCCTTGCCGTCCTAGGAATGATTCGCTGATTGTTGGACCAATGGGTCCCGACGGTGACAAGGGAAATGCTGGCTACCCTGGCATCCCCGGACGTGATGGCTACCCTGGTACCCCTGGATCTAAGGGTTTGTATTTTTCAGGGTAATTTCGTAGGCGTCGTGCGTAATATCGATGTGGCATTCCCGCGAAACATTAATTCTACGTGAAGGTACAAACGAACAACCTTTATATCGAAAATACGATAGCTGTGACCGCTTAATCTCCCTGCAGGTGAACTTGGTGGGACATGCAATGCATGCAGCAAGGGAGGAAAGGGTGAGAAGGGAACGTCAGGTTTCGATGGTCGCCCCGGAGCGCCCGGTGACAGAGGTATGGGTGGTGAGAAGGGTGACATAGGATCTCGAGGAGAGGATGGAATACCAGGTGCTTCGGGCCGCCCAGGCCAGCCGGTACGTACACCACAAGGCCTTAGTTATTATTATTATTATTATCATTATCATTATTATTACATGTACAGCCTAACTAAGCTCTGTAGAACTTTGGTTGTCTTACTGTTTGGTGCTATCTATAATATATCACCAATTGTTAAACCACTAGACTATAGCCCCTTTGTAATTCCCTGCTTACCGCACTCGTTCACTCACAGGGCTTGAACGGCATTGATGGTCGACCAGGTAGCAAGGGAGACAAGGGTGAACCAACGTACGTTCCAGGAACCCTCTCTAAAGGTACGGAAGTTGTGTAGACGTGTAAATAAAAATTCTGTATCAGTTGTTGGGTGGTTGGTCGACTTGAATGATAAAAACCCGAGTTAATAGTGCAATAGCAATTACTACTACTACTACTACTACTACTACTACTACTACTACTACTACTACTACTACTACTACTACTACTACTACTACTACTACTACTACTACTACTACTATTGCTGGTGCTGCTGCTGCTGATGATGATGATGTTGTTGCTATAAATAATAATAATAACTATTATAAAAATAAAAATAATAATTTAATGATAGTGTAGTAGTATGAGAGTAATGGCGTGTATTTAGTGTACTATTGCGCGTGACGAGCGCTGTGCTCATATGTGGCTTCTTTTTCAGGAGACAAAGGCGAGAGTGGTTTTGATGGCAGGCCCGGAGGCTCAGGAGAACCCGGACCCCGTGGCCCACCAGGTCTAGATGGTATGCCTGGCCTTGAGGGACTACCAGGTATCAAGGTACGAGTCCTTTGTTGGAATACACGAATGTCGTGTTGTAATGTTCATGAACCGGCACTGTGGTGACCGTCTGTGCGGTATTCGAAAACCTGATGCAAATATTGACGCAGGATCGTCCCGGGTTGCAATATCCCGTATAAGATAGGTTGTAATATTCTATGACGTTAGAGTGCAACATGTGAAAGCTGATGCAGCACTAGATGAATAACCACGGGTTCTGTTCATACTCATGCTTAGCATTGTCAACTATGTCATTTGTGTGGGAACAGGTACGCGCTCGGTGTGAAATACACGTGGTTCGATAACGTACTCGCTGAGCTGCTATTTCGACAGTTTCTAGCTGTAGCGACATAGTGTGCATTGGCGCTTGATAGTGTGACTCAGTGTGACCTATGATTGCATCAGGGTGAGTCCGGACTCCCGGGACGTCCGGGTGCAGAGGGCCGCAGCGGTCTTCCCGGCCTGGATGGATTTAATGGAACCAAGGGTGACCCAGGTCAACAGGGTGACATGGGCCCACCAGGACCTCGTGGATGTAAGTAGAAGATTACGAACTGAATTCGAGAGAATATCGTGTGCGCGAGCATCAGGCAACAAGTCAAGTTCAGTAGCGGTCACTTCTACTGATAGAGTCCAGGGCTCGGAACCACTCTTTGGATAATATGAGAAAAATGCGCATCTGTTATCTTCGTGTGAATGTTTTATCAACAAAAAGGTTCAATTTTGCGACGCGCACGTACGTATACGTACGTCATGAGCTAATAGCTACTACTATTATTATTATCATTACCTCCGCCAAGGGGTTGGCAGGAGATATATGTTTTCACCGGCGTGTGTTTTGTTCGTTTGTGTGTTTGTGGGTTTGTGGGTTTGTGGGTTTGTGTACAGCCTAACCGAAAAAGTTATGGACGGATTGTCATAAAATAAAATTTTCACGTTAGGTCAGAAATGGGCTAACTTAGAATTGATGAGATTTTGGTGGTGATCCGGATCCAATTAATTAATTAATTAATAACATTTTCAGGATAGGTCACAAATGGGGTAACTTAGAATTGATTACATTTTGGTGGTGATCCGGATCCAATTAATTAATTAATTAATTTTTTAGGATACGTCAGAAATTGGGTAACTTAGAATTGATTACATTTTAGTCGTCATCCGGATCCAATTAATTAATTAATTAATTAATAAAAATTTTCACAGTGACAGAATTCAGCTGCCTTGGCGGAGGTCTGTGCTGTCCGAGTGCTCTAGTTATTATTATTATTATTGTTGTTGTTGTTGTTGTCATTAGCGGTAGCGTTGCTCTTGTTTTAGCCGTCGATCAGATTCTGGCAATCAAGGGCGAGCCAGGTCTGGACGGTCTGCCCGGACCCAGGGGAGATGAGGGCGAGAAAGGTGTACGAGGTAAGAGACTGAGGCTACATAGCTGTGAGTGTGTGGTGAAATGGAGCAAAGCGACAGTCACAGCTGTATTACGGCTCGATTAAATTTAGGGTGGCATATTCTAGTAGGTCAATGCTTAAAGTTGCCAATGTGTGTGTGAATAAGACTTCTACTTATTGTCAAAATAATAACCTAGCAAAAATATGTGTGTGTACGCCAATATGTGCGTACGTGCGTACGTGTGGCTGTATATCGCTGTCAATTAAAAAACGTTTGCTGCTCAATTATATTTTTGTCACTTACAATGCTCTTGTGATTTTCCTGAAATAAAATACATCTTATCAAACGGCATACAATTTTCGTTATCACTTGAATTTTATATTAAAACAATTTACCGATGTTGTCTTGCAGGACTGACGGGACCACGTGGTGAACACGGACAAGATGGCCGCCCCGGAGCAGCCGGAAGACCTGGTTCATCTGGTAATGATGGTCTTCCAGGATTACCAGGATTGCCAGGTAAGGTAAACCCCCGTGTGTGGTTATAATGTATAATATCTCTGATATATGATGTATCACATATTTATCACCATGATCATGATGCCTATTAAACGAAATTCGGTAAAAATACCTATATATAATTACTTGCGTTCGGCTGACAATTATTTTATTATTAAATAATTGGTCACTTAATTGCTGCGCAGTAACGATAAGTATTCGCCCAACGAGGGAATGACGACATTTTGTATATCTTCTTGATGAAAAGGTTTTGCATCATTACCGTGTCGTATATATGCTACATTTTCATATATAAGATAACTCGGACTACTGGCTGACAGAGGATTCTATGACGCTGCTATCTAACTTATTATTTCCTTACTTAGGAATGAAGGGAAATCAGGGAATACCAGGAGTCGGACTGCCTGGCGAAAAGGGAGACAATGGACCAGCAGGAGAACGGGGATTCCCTGGACCACCCGGTGGACCTGGCCGTGACGGTATTTGCCATAGTCTCTTCTTCTTCTTCTTCTTCTTCTTCTTCTTCTTCATCTCCTTTGTTTTCTTCTTGTTGTTATTCTTCTTCTTCATTATCATCATCTTTTTCGTTGTCGTCGTCGTCGTCTTCTTCTTCCCTTTCTTGAAGGTCTTAATTTTTCAGGAATATATTTTCAAGCTGTCACGTCAAAAGTAAAACTATGCCTCTAAACGTGAGAGTTCTAAAAGTATAACGTATAAGGAGTAATAAATCTAAATCTCACTACTGAATTCACTGGGTAGAGAATCAGATCCACGCGAGCCCACGAGTTTGGTGCGAGAATCTACGGGAATGCGTTCGTTAATACACCAACAAGACGAAAGCATTACATTCTAATGTTCGTTAATAATGCTCTAATGAAATTCGTAAATTTGTCCACAGGCGAGCGTGGATTCCCTGGTCCAGCAGGGCCGAAGGGTGATCGTGGCTTTAACGGCGTGCCAGGGCCATCTGGCGGTATAGGAGTCAAGGGTGAACCAGGACCTTACGGTGTGCGTGGCCAGAAGGGCGAGTCTGGACTTCCTGGTCTTGATGGACTCAAGGGTATGTACGGGTGATCGTACGTTTAAACTTTCGTAACGTAATGGATACTTGTGCTAATCAACAATTACTAATGCTGAAGGAGTCGTTGTCGTATCAGGTACTACAGATATGTACCCGAGGTACGTATATGTATACACAAGTGTACCAGACCTGTATCTTCTCAGCATATATGTACCCTGTGTATACATAAACGTACCTGCCCCTGAAAGGGAGATCGAATGAAGACGGTCATGGAGGAGAAGTAGGAGGCAGGAGGAGAAGGAGGAGGAGGAGAAGGAGGAGGAGGAGAGGGAGGAGGGGAGGAGGAAGAGCGGGGAGGTGATGAAGATCGAATGAAACGGTCATGGAGGAGGAGTAGGGGGCAGGAGAAGGAGGAGGAAGAGGAGGGGAGAAGGTGATGGAGTAGGGGGAGGAGAGAAGAGGAGGAGGAGAGAGGGAGGAGGAGGAGCGGAGAATGTGATGGAGATCGAATGAAGACGGTCATGGAGGAAGAGTTGGGGACAGGAGGAGAGGAGAAGAGGAGGAGAGGAGGAGGAGGAGGAGGAGGAGGAAGGGAGAAGGTGATGGAGTAAAGGGAGGAAGAGGAGGGGAGGAGGGAGAGGAGGAGGAACGGAGAAGGTGATGGAGATCGAATGAAGACGGTCATAGAGGAGGAGGGAGGAGGGGGAAAAGGAGAAGAGGAGGGAGGGAGGAGGAGCGGAGAAGGTGATGGAGATCAAATGAAGACGGTCATGGAGGAGAAGTAGGAGGCAGGAGGAGAAGGAGGAGGAGGAGAAGGAGGAGGAGGAGAA